ATGAGCTTGAAACAAAACTTTGGAGGTCACAGGCAGGGGAAAGAGCTTCCTCAAGATTCAGGGATTCAGCCAAAGCTGATACACAATACTCTAATCTCTATATTCAAAGCTATGTGTAAGGGTGAAATAAATGAAGAATGGAAGAATTGTAATCCTCCTTCATGAGTGGGTAGACTGAATGCTGGCTCTATGGGTAAAGAAGAGATGAAAAGGCAAGATGGAGAAATTCCTAATTGTCTTAGAGTGTCTAAATCACCAAATAGTCACTCTAGCACATTAGAAAATTATATCCAGAGATTAAAAATAAAGGAGACCCTCTATGTACATAGTGACCCATATGCACATTTAAAAAAGAACCCCCCACTGAGGGGAAATTACGTTAAAACAAACAAACAAACAAATACTTACATTGTTACCTGGGGACGTTTCATTATGGACTGTTCAGATAACCCTTATTGTCCACAATTAGACTGCAATTACCAGCTCTTTCTTTAAGGCAAGTACTCCACCAGAGGCCAATATATTGCCATTTAACTGGCATTTTAAATAGCCAGTAAAAATATCTTCTGAGCAAAGCTGAAACGGGGAGGGCTTTTACTTCTTGTCATTAGATAACTCATTCACTTATAAAGGACCTGGGGCTGTGGGGTTTGATTTATTTTTAACCAGAGAGGTATTACATATAATGTTGATTTTAAGAATTTGCATTATAATTGTTAGCACTACCAGACAAGACTTTCTCTTAAGATTGAAAGAGCTGGCAATGTTTTCACTTTTGAAGTCAACCTCCTTATTACACTCTCCCTCTTACTTTGCTTTTTATTCACATCTCTGACTGGATGAAATGGATCTTTCCTGGTGGAACTAAATCATAGAATCATAGAATAGGTAGGGTTGGAAGAGACCTCTAAGATCATCAAGTCCAACCCCTGATCCAACTCCAATTACTATATCATGGCACTAAGGGCCATGTCCAATCTCTTTTTAAAAACCTCCAGGGATGGTGAATCCACCACCTCTCTGGGTAGGTTGTTCCAATGCCTGATAACCCTCTCTGTAAAGAATTTCTTCCTAACATCTAACCTAAACCTCCCCTGGCAGAGCTTGAGCCCAAGTCCCCTTGTCCTATTGTTGGTTGCCTGGGAGAAGAGACCAACCCCCGCCTGGCTATAACCTCCCTTCAGGTAGTTGAAGAGAGTGATGACGTCGCCTCTAAGCCTTCTCTTCTCCAGACTAAACAACCCCAGCTCGCTCAGCCTCTCCTCATAGGACTTGTGCTCAAGTCCCTTCACCAGTCTCGTTGCTCTTCTCTGGACCCGCTCCAGCACCTCAATGTCCTTCCTGAACTGAGGGGCCCAGAGCTGAACACAATACTCAAGGTGTGGCCTCACCAATGCAGAGTACAGGGGAAGGATCACTTCCCTGCTCCTGCTGGCCACACTGTTCCTGATGCAGGCCAGGATGCCCTTGGCCTTCTTGGCTACCTGAGCACACTGCTGGCTCATGTTCAACCTCCTGTCGATCAGCACCCCCAAGTCCCTTTCTGCCTGGCTGCTCTCCAGCCACTCTGTCCCCAGCCTGTAGCGCTGCAGGGGGTTGTTGTGGCCAAAGTGCAGGACCCGGCACTTGGCCTTGTTGAACTTCATTCCATTGGAGTTTGCCCATCTCTCCAGTCTATCCAGATCCCTCTGCACAGCCCTCCTGCCTTCCGGTAGGTCGACACTCCCTCCCAACTTGGTGTCATCTGCAAATTTGCTGATGATGGACTCAATCCCCTCATCTAAATCATCGATAAAGATGTTAAAAAGGACTGGGCCCAGCACTGACCCCTGGGGGACACCACTGGTGACCGGCTGCCAACTGGATGCAGCTCCGTTCACCAGCACTCTCTGGGCACGGCCCTCGAGCCAGTTCCTGACCCAGCAGAGAGTGCCCTTGTCCAAGCCGTGGGCTGCCAGCTTTTCCAGGAGTATGCTATGGGAGACAGTGTCAAAGGCTTTGCTGAAGTCCAGATAGACCACATCCACAGCCTCTCCCTCGTCCACCAGGTGGGTCACCTGATCGTAAAAGGAGATCAGGTTGGTCAAACAGGATCTGCCCCTCCTAAACCCATGTTGGCTGGGTCTGATCCCTTGTCCGTCCTGTAGCTGCCATGTGATTTCACACAGGATAATCTGTTCCATAACTCTGCCAGGCACCGAGGTCAGGCTGACAGGCCTGTAGTTACCCGGGTCAGCCTTGCAGCCTTTTTTATGGATTGGGGTGATATTTGCCAACTTCCAGTCGTAAATGGGAAGAAATGTTTCAGAAGATCACGTAACACACTCCAGATGCTGACAGTGGTTTGCTCTGGTTGAGCCAATGTAGAAATAACTCAAAGAAACAGAAGAAGAGATTTCTTACTACACTTCTATTCCCATCAGACAATGTAGAAGCAATATCCTAACACTTTTTTGAAGAAAGCTCTATTTGTCTTGCTTTTCTGATTTTTACTAGAGTCTAAACCCCAAAGTAGAAAGTGTTTCCACTTGCACAGGCCCTCTCTTTGTGTCAGTGAATCAGCCACATCAGGATTGCCAACTATACAAAAAAATGCACCCAAGGAAAGTCAAAAAGTAATCCATAGTCTGTCAAGATGATCTGCTGACAAAGAAGAAACTCTTAGCACTTCTGTCAACGAACATTCATGTGAAAAACTTTCAAGGACTCACACACAGAGGGTAATCCCTGAAGGACTTGATATTTTTTGACTGAGGAGCCTTGACTAGCTGTGGAGAATGGGCAGAAGACTGTGATTGCACAGACACAGGCACATCTGAATTGATTTTTCAGCAATTATTCTTATTACAGAGGAATATCTATATCTGATTTCCCAATAGGACTAATTATTGATTTCTTTACCATACATAAAGGCCACCTCATTTGCAAGAAGAGGTGAGACTTGTGACTTCTTTTTTACCTAAGTATTGAAAAAAAAATGGTGGCATTCCAAAGATCTCAAACATTACTGTGCAAGCCACATTTTAATGATTAGGGAGGGCCTTTTTACAGAATTTATAATTGCTGAAGGATTGTAAAATTACTAAATGAAAAAAAATGTTTTTCAAAAAGCCTACCCCAGTAACAATTCTCTCTCATGCCTTAGGATCGACTTACTTATTTTACAGGGAATCAGTTCACTGTGTTTCCAGGAGGCTGGGGAGTGATGACTGGCAGCACCTGAAGAAGCAAGAACTAGATGAAGGCAGGTCATGCCAAACCACTGGCACTACATATAGGTCAGGAACAAGGGATAAGAGATGGCATCACAAACAGTGATGTACCTGACTTTTTAACTTGCCCTATACACCACAAGGGTAGCCACCATTAGGCTCCCTCTACAGAGAGACAGGATTACTGAAGGAGTTATTTCTCCAATGCATCCCACCTCCAGGAAGTGGGAGGGGTGTGTTTCAAACCTAACACACCCTTTGAAGGCAGGTCTCATACACTTCCAAGTAGACTGGTACAAAAAAGCTTAGCATTTTTCCTGAGAAAGGACAGCAGCTGGATCTGGCCAGATAAAAGCTGATAAATCCAGCAGGATAAAGATTATTACAGTCACCTGAGAAAGCAAGAGACCTTGTTTACACGTCTCCTTTAAACAATTTGGAGTGGGGATTCAAACACACACTATCTCTTACTTTCTAGTCAAACACATTAACAATTTCGCTGCAGGGTATTTAAGGTTTTGGCAACCTCAGCTGTTGAAACTTTTGCTTTCTGTAAAACACTTGCATGGTAATGGCAGCACGGGACACCAAAGAACAGCCTAAAAGATAAAACACTCTAACCAGAACATACAGCCCTTGCTCCTATGCAGACTTCTTATATACTTTGCATCATTCACTGGAAAAAGTAAACAGTCTGGGATTTAAAGGCCAAAATTAAGATCAGAAGCCTTAGCACTAAGACTTTACCCACTCAGTTTCTCTCCTTTGTCCCAATTTCAGCTTTTTTTTTTTTTTCTTTTCTGGCCTTCCCCTGCCTTGCACAAACCTGTCTTAGGAGGGGAGAAGGGGCCAGTACAGCAAGCAAGGGGGAGCTTTGTTGCCTTATTCAGGTCTGCTTTCAAGAGAATCAAAGAGTACAGGCCAGGCCCAGGTCTGCTGTGAGGCTTTCAGAGGCCAAGGTGTATCCATCAGATAGGCCTGGGAAACAAATGGGGTGCTATGCAGCAAGTGCTGGATCAGCTAGCTTGCCTCTAGCAAGCACAGATTGTTGCTGGATACAAACCTAGGCTGGAATTTAAAATATACCCATCAGGGCTCGCCTAATTTCACCTGACTTCATTTTAAAATAGCTGTCTGGGCTTCCCCCTCTACTGAACAATAGCAGAAGGCAATTCAACCCAACCTACAATATTGCTATTTACTTCACTGAATACAGAGAAGGCTTACATGTTTAGTTTACCTAATTTAGATGAAATACCTCTCAATCACTAAAGTATGCCTCGTCTCCTTTAAGGCAACTAAGACCTTGTTCGGACAAAGCTATCCCTTTGTAACACCACAGAATGGCACTATTCCATAATAGCTCCCAGCTGTTAGTCTCACCAGATGTGAAAGACCAAGACAGAAGAGGAATTTCAACTTGCCTCTCCCAAACTCCAGTAGAGTGCTTAACACCACTACAGTCTAAATAGCTCTTACCACTATCTGCCAAACACGAGTGAGCAGGTCAGGTGACTGCCAAAAAAGTCCCACAAGTAAACCAGGCAGATGAACAACATGTAAATCTGACTAGGGTGCAGATACAAACTCAAGACCAAATTTGTTCTCTCTGCTCAGCAGTAAAATACAGATTCCTTGAGAGGCTTTACTGGACTAAGAAGGAAAGCAGAGATCCTAAAGAAACATCTGGGTTCAAGCTGAAGCTGTGTGTCTCAGTTTCAGATTTAAATGCTTGACACACCAAGCATACATATAAAATCTTTCATAGACCCAGCCCTCAGCACATACTAGAATCAATGACATGTACATATTTTGTGTATTTAATGGAGTATTTGTCTACTGTTGGGGTGTAGATAAAAGTGGAAATTAAGCTTTAAAACTAGTGTAATCATGAAAATAATCCCTATAAATGTTATTGGCACTCCACATATGACACAATGTCCTTTTTATATCTAGTTATGAGTTCTGATACACAGCCCAGCACAAAGACTGTAATCAATCTTACTGTTCACAGTTGTTTACTATCAGCAGCTTTTAATTTCAATGAACTTTAGTTTACAAAGATAAAGAATTCAGAATCAGACCAGATGCAATTGTTCTACATCAGCATCACAAATTTACCTGCATACTTGTACTTGATCCATGGCTATGTTACTCTCCACAAGATGATAACTAATAACAATGATAAAATCTCATGAACAACACTGATCCCCACAATTCTTGTTTGTTTTGAATACAAAGTAGCAGCAAAGTACTGAAGTACCAAAGTAGAGAAGTAGCAGCACAATACAGAGAACATTTATCTTGTAAAAACACCTTTTAAAAAAAAGGGAATCATTACTAGTCCTGTTTGGACATGGTGCAGATAGCACTGTAATAACCGGAATAGGAAAAGACAGAAAAGAATTCGTACCAGTCAAGATATAGATCGGAATTAAATAACCTTAGCATGAAAATTTCAGTAAAACACCTCAGCTGTACTTACATGAAGAAAACAAACGCAAGATTGTAAACTGTTCTGTGTGTCTGTCAAAACAGAAGAAAGCCACAAGACTCCTGGGCTTTTTTTCAAAACATGTCCACTAATGAAACTCTCATTAGACAGTACAAAGCTTGCAACATTGCTTGCTTCACTTTGCAGTGTATATAAGTAAATAGGCACTTGCACAGCCTCAAAACTCATAAAACAAATGCATGGTAACCATAATGCTAAGGTAAGAAAATGAAAATAGTTGACGATCTATTTTCTGGCAGTACAGCAGCAGTCTGAAAGGAAATGCAATACTGAAGGGCCGTAACTTGACCATAAGAACAAAAGCCAGGTTGTTCTCTCAGGTTGCGTTCCACTTAACAGATGCTCTATGCAGATTTTTCTTCCAGTCAGGAAATAAAAAAGTATTTTTGGTTTGACAGGCAGTTAAGCCTACTATTTCCTTTCATAATACCCTTGTTTAGGAGTCTTCTGTACCTACAAAATGAAGGATTAAGCACACAGTCTCTGCTCAGTCCTGCAACATGCTTCCTATAGAAGTTGCCAGACTCCACAACTACAGAGAACTATCATCAGCCATTGTTAGCATATGGTTAGGAAACACTAGTTAAGAAGATACTTAAAAAACTGTTTTGGATAAGCCACTAATATCCAAGGCATCGCCTAGCTTGTTGAAGACAAAGGCAAAAACGTAGTGTCAGTAACAGCTGACAGGCTGTGGCATTAAAATACTGATAAACATGTTACACTGCCTTCTGCAGAGCTTGTGGTGATAGATCAACACCTGGGAGAGTGAATCCTTGCAGGTATGACAGCTGCCTTCTCTGTACAGTGAACATATACATATTTAAAGCTCCCTTTGCTTTCTACAGCAATTTCCACAGATCATTTTGCTGATATATTTACGATATAAGATTGTTCCTCACACAGCTCAAATCGCAGCTGTAACACGAGCTTAGCGAAGTAACATTCAAAGCTGTCACTTTTAGGTCTGTCTTGGTATGTATCTGACATAAATTCTTTAACTTTTGGCACTTTCAATTTACCTTCACACTGTGTGATTAGCCCTGCAGATGAAATATTACAGCTTCCATATATACTGAGCAGATCATCCTGTTCAAAAAGATCTGTAATTTTATGGACTCTTCTGTATAATTTTTTCGCCCAACTTCACCATCTCTTCTTTAGTTTTATGGCAAATAATTTTCTATTCCAGGGTTCTTCTGGTCTGAGAGTTCTCCAATAACTTAAAAAGAGGATTTTTATAACACCTCTCAGGAGGAATGCAGAAGTAACACAGATAACTGTGTTAAAGCTCTTCTAAGTATCTCCACAAACACTGCAAAATAACTGTACAACTGGTATCCTGAGGGGATGGTTCCTGCTCTTGGTTCCTCACACACTGTCTCTTTAATAAACTGGCCTGGTTTACAGCTGCTGGTCATAAATTTAACTACATATCTTATTTAGTAGAGGGAAAACAACCATCTGCAAGAAGTATAAGAACTGTATTCAGCACACTGCTGTCCAATATCCTATCCATCCTATTTGGCTAGGAGATAAACAGCCTTTATTTATAAATTGCCTGCCCAGTATGTGGCCTACAGCCCCAATTTCTCTGCACCCCACCAGGTGTCACTTACACCACATTACTGATGCTCCTCAGCAGGGCAGGCAACTATTCTTCTACTGTAATAATTCAAAGTATTTATACACTGCATAGCCACTCTTTCACATACACACATATACTTACTGGTATATTGATGAACCACATCTAAAATGTTTTGCAAAGACTGACACACTGTGGGGTTTCCAAGCATGAAAAAAATATAAATCTGTAGGCTTCTAAAAGACAGACAACTGGAGAGCCTGTCAAAAAAAGCAAGCCTTCCCTTTAAGTTAAGCTCTCTCCAGAGACCATTCACTAGCTTCAAAATATCCATGTTTGGCTTGGAAAAACCCACAAGTTAATTCAATTTAAAAAAAATGTGTTAAACCAAGTACTACTTAGAGGGAGCACTGAGTATTTTATGTGTAATACACAGTTACTCAGATACACATTTAAATATTTAATATGTAAAAAATAAAGTGCTCTGTATCAGGTCCCAGTGCAGGGACATTATAAAACATTTCAACAACTGTAAAACAAATAGATACAAAGAACACTGCATCAAACATATATGAAAACAGTTAACACAATATGTACAATCTGGTGGGTGTCCCAAGACAAAACATCCCTTCATATACATGGTATATACATATATACTCCTCTTTACTCAATATATTATGACAATATATATTTCAAAACTTTGTTTACTGACAAAACAAAAAAACCCCTACAAAAACACAACAAGGATAAAGCACAGGAGTCCAAGATGGACAAAGAATTTGCTATCCCTCCCCACAGCACCACCTCTGCTCCTGGGAAAGATATGCCAGTGCTCTTTTCTGGGATGCAGCGCCTCCACATCCTGCAAGGCACTGTGAGCAGCAGCTGTGAAGTTGGCATCACCTGTAGTGAGCAGGTCAAATACACACGAGTAAAAGTAGATGTCCTTCACCAGCATCTTCTCATGGCATTTGGTGGTGGCGGTTTCCAGCGTGTACACTGATCGGGGATGGGCAGCACTGCCCTGAGGAAGCAATTTGCTCATCACAGGCAACGGCAAGTGACCGCTGTCATCAATGCGTTCACTGGAGGGGCAGCCGTTGACACAGAGCTGCAGGTCCTGACCCTCTTCGTAGGCCATGACCAGTTCCCGAGGCATTTGGATGGCCAGCGTCAGGTAGTGTCCAAGCTGCCGCACATATACTGTGGTCCCAATGTGCCGGGCATGCATCTCGATGTACTTCCCACTGACCTTCTCCACGATGTTCAAGCTCCTGGTGTTCCCATCACCTCCACTCGTCGTACCATCCACAAAAGCTGCAGGCAAGTCATCAGTCACTGCTTGATACACTTTCTGTTCTGTACAGTCTTGGTATGATTTAAAGATAATAGTTATCTGGAGGGGAAGGGGGAAAGAAAAAGCAAAGTTATTGGAAAAAAATCATTATCTCAACTCCTCTTCCATTTTGCAGCTGAATATGTCTGGGACTGACCACTACCGCAGAGCCTGGTAGTTGTCCACAATGTCCTGGTTAGAACGGCTGGGACCAATTCATCACTGGATGGGTGCAACCCAAAACTGTGTATTCTATAGCCGTCCATGCCATTTCCCAGAAACTGTTGTCAGTAGAGACCTGCAAGGTGGGAAGATGTTCCTATACCCTTTTACGGAATTCCCCGCTCTGATACCCTTTTATGGAGGAGGGACTGAGCATCCGCATGCCCTTTTATGGAATTCCCTACTCTGAGGGAGGGACTGAGCACTCCCGCCTGAACTGGAGAGTATATAACTGGGAGTTTCAGAACCTTGCCACCTCTCGTGGGATCCAGAGGAATACTGCAGACCACTGCCTTCAACTAGACTGCAGACCACCGCGTTCAACCAGACTGAGACCACCACCCTCGACTGGACTGCAATCACCACTTCTGACCAGACTGCAGCAGCTCTCCCACCAGCAGGTTTATCCCCTCTCCCTTTGCTTTGGACTCGGGGGTGGGCCGAGGTACACCACTCTTGTTCATATCCTAGGGTGCTGCGTTATACATTTGGGTTTTGTGGGTTAAAACCAATTGTCTGTCTGTATAATTGTACTTATTGCATTATTTTAATAAATTGTTATTCTGACTTATAAATCTCTCTTTTGAATTGAGTTCATTTTCCCTTGCTGGTTAACTTTTAAACCAGCACACACAACTCATGCGTTAAGGAAAACAGACTGTACACATGCTTAAAGTAATATTTTACCAATTGTTAGATTTGTTCTTAGGTTGTCCTGGAAGAAGGACTAGTAATATGTGGCAAGAGCTGTGATGTCTGGAAAGGAAAAGGCTTTCTATTTAATTAGGTATCACAACTCTCTCCTGCCTGATAGTTTTTTAATGCTCTGGAATGCCTCCTGCAATGACAGAGAAGTGTAAGCGCCAAGTAATTCCCACGATGCTGGCCACTGTGGCAAAACCAGAATGAGACTGTGCCAAATCACGGAAAGGTACAATCACGACCAGGAAGAACAACTAGTCAAATAATTGCTTAGGGCTCCAGGATCCATTTGCCCTAAGAACTGGGAGATTTGATGCTTCCAGTCCTCTGTTACTAAAAAATGTGCCCATGGAGAAACAAAGAAAGACTGAAAGATACTCTACGACAGACTTTTGAAGAGTGACTTCCAACACGGAAACCAGGAACATAAAGCAATTACTCGTTCTTTTAAGATTAGAATAAGCCTTTTAAACCTTTACATTTATCGGAGTAAGTCACAACAGAAAAAGCAGGTCCTCCAGTCTTACTTAAAGGTAGTAACTAGGCTACATGTCAGACCAAGTCTAGTGGCTTTTCCTAAAATAAAAAGTATAATGAGGAATCACATAAAAATATTAGAAACAGATAAGCTACTTTTTTTAGAATTTCTGAGGGGAGAAACTTCTTGAAAAGATCAAAAGAAATTCTGCATCAGCAATAGTATTTTAATAATTATTTTCAGCATTGACTAATTACATCAAATTACTTACAATCTACAATTTAAACAGTCTGCTAAGAGACTCAGATTACCCCAAAACACATCAGAATGTGTTTTAAAACTAATGTTAAACTTTTTGCTTAAAATCTGTTTTAAAGAAACGTCACATTTTAGTATCAGTTAACCAGCACACTCCTGCACAACAGCTTTTGTCTCCTGCCCCTCTGTTTTGAAGTAAGACATAGAGGTTAAAAAAGAGCCAATTACAGACAATTCAGATAAAACCTCTACCTTCATCAGCCTCACTTCTCCATATCACTTGTATAAAACAAAAGTCTCCCCATCTCCCTCCTCCCATTGTAACAGTTTCTCCTGTGGAGTGTGCAGACTTCTTCCTGCAATAAGAATATTACATTTATTTTCACTGTTTGGCTTGTCCCAGGTGGCTGATGTTTTGTCTGTCTTTCTGTCTCACAACACAGACAATACTTCCTATTTTGATTTTGTATGTTCCCACTGGTGATGACTGTATTTTTCCAATGGTTTTTCCTTGTGTCAATCAATTACACAGCTTGAGTTGTGTCAGCTATATAGCTTAAGACCACCTGTAGTCAAGTCATTTAGTAAACTTATGTCTGTGGACTACAGCCAAGCTGTGGAATGCCTACATCCAAAATCCAGAAAACACACAAGTGCCCCCATCACTGTAAAGACAACCTCACAACTCTGTGCTTAGTAAAGTAACCTCAGCAACTCGGAGAAGAGAAACCTGAGATGTCTCAAGGAATTAGTATTTCTGCATATAATCCAGACCGTCATGCAGTAAATCCGGTCTTTTATTTTGTATAACACAGTTTTGATGAAGACTTCTATCTCCACCTGCTCAGACAAAGAAGCATTCCTCTTTCCTTGAGCATATTTGTATTGCTCTGCAAGGAGAGAATGATTTACACATCTTGAGAAGTAAAGCTCTAAGTCTGCTCAGTACCTGAACAAGCCTGGAGTCAAAAAGAGTTAATTATTTTAATGAGACACAGAACTGGCCGCTGGATAAAAACGTTTAAGCAAGGCACCTGGCAAAATTTATCAGCAAGCAGCCACCAAACTGTTCTCTCCAAAACCCCCTCCTCTGCAACAATGAAATGTACACAATTTCAGATACATGGAGGGAGAAGAGAAGCCTGCACCCTAACTCAAGATTAGCAATAACATTACATGATGAATGAGAGCTGAATGACTACAAAATGAATAAAGGCCTGCATGTAGGCTGCAAGAACACTCCAAACAGAGAATCAAGAGACTATTAAGACTTTCCAAGGACATACTCGTATTTAAACACGGCAGCTCAAGATATTAGTTTTGAATATTGTGTTGTATGTCACATTACATCCATCTAATCCATAGGCAAGATCAGTAAAACCAGAGTTCTGTATAGTCTTTCCCTTATCACATATTCCTACCTCAATATCATGCCCTGGTATCAAGAGATACTCCAGAGCTTGTTGCAAAGGGAGATAAAGCAAATTTCCTTACAAAGCTTTATCGAAGTTCTCAAGGTAACAGAAAGCACCAGAAAGTGAAAAAGTTATTTCAAACAAATTTCACGGATGTTATATGTGTCTATGTACCTACAGCACTTTTTACACTCTGGCTGGGTTGCAAGAATACCTCCACAAAGCTGCTTATGGGGTACTGTTTACAGACTAGAGACTAGCTGCCCTTTCTAAACCTAGGACTGAAAAATACAAATACCAGATGAAGAAAGATTTTTGAAAGTACTGGTATCTCAGCCTTGTTCTGTGGTCACATACAGAGCTCTTCTGCAGTGAGGAACCCTGAAAGATGAATACAAAGGTTTCCAGAGACTTACTTGAAGATACAGTAAACAAACGTCTGCTATAGTAAGAGTACTAAACCAAAAAAACCTGACACACACATTCAATCTGCACATTTCATTTTGGACTTCATCCTCCCATTGCTACTGATACCAGTACTGATGAGTGCACTGATCACAAAAATTTCCTAAATTCCACTGCACATTCAAGGTCTCTCAAACATGGTGTCACTGAGCTGTCAAACTGCATTTTCTAGATGATCTTAATGTATTTGTTAATGGTGCCCGGCTTGTGTGCCTTAAACAAAATCAAGACTTTCAACTCTGAGTTCTTGTACTGGTCTTCCCTAGTGCTATAATGCAATCACAGTGCTGTAGGTATCCCTGTATGTTGCTATTTTACTATGCATTTAATAGAATCCTAGAATCATTCAGGTTGAAGAAGACCTTTAAGATCATGGACTCCAACCATTAATGTAGCACTGCCAAGCTTGGGGAAGAGTGAGAGTGGAAAACAGCCCAGCAGAGAAGGACCTAGGGGTGCTGGTTGACAGCTGTCTGTACATGAACTGGTGTGTGCCGAGGTGGCCAAGAAGGCCAAGGGCATCCTGGCTTGGATCAGCAGTAGTGTGGGAGCAGGATCACAGCATGATTGTTCCCCTGTACTGGGCAGCAGTGAGGCTACACCTCAAGCACCGTGTTCAGTTTTGGGCCCCTCACGTGCAGAAAGACACTGAGGTGCAGAAAGACACGTGTGTCCAGAGAAGGGCAACAGAGTTGGGGAAGGGTCTGAGCACAAGTCCTACAAGGAATGTCTGAGGGAGCTGGGGTTGCTCGGCCTGGAGAAAGGGAGGCTCAGGGGTGACCTTAACACTCTCAACAGGCACCTGAAGGAAGGCTGTAGACAGGGTGGATCATCCTCTCAAGTAGCAAGTGACACGATAAGAGGAAATGGCCACAAGCTGCACAAGAGAGGTTCAGATAGGGAAAATTTCTTCACTGAAAAGGTTGTCAAGCACTGAAACTGGCTGCCTAGCCTCTTGAGTCATCATCCCCAAAAATGTTTAAAAGGCATGTGGTACTCAAGGACCAAGTTTAGCTGTGGAATTCACAGTGTTAGGTTTGTGACTGGACTCAATGGTCTTAACGGTCTTTTCCAACCTAAATGATTCTATGATATCCTCCAACAAAACTGCAGTATGTACTACTTCTGAGAAAGACAAATTCATCTCCACCCTGGGCAAGATGTCCACAAAGATGAAAAGAATAATGACATATAACCAGACATCTGATGCTCCTACTTAAAAAAACAACTGAAAGGTAACTGGAGATAAACATTTTAATATTACTTACAGGAGACTAAGTACACTGTGATCACTCTGCAACAATTTCCTGCAAAAATAGAAACCATGCTGCAAAAGCAGTAAAAAGCTCTGTGGTTTTTTCCTTCTCTGTGTCCTTACACTCACTCTCTCACCCTCAAGCTATCTACTACAAAACACCTGGATAGGAAAACCTCCATTTCCAATTAATGCAAACAAGGAAAGTTTTCCATTGGCAAGCCCAAGCTTCTGCCTCATCTGCTATTCAAGGACAACTACTCTAGAGATATCTAGAACACCTGTCAGAGAGATGAAAGGCAATACAGACTTTATACCCCTCCAAATAAAGCAAACAATAAAAAAATAAAAAAAACCTCCAATCTTTTATGTAATGCATTCTGTAGTACTCTTCCAACTTACTCCCTCTACAGCCCCTTGTAACAGACATTTATCCTCAGGAAATTGCAAAACCAGTTCCAAGACAGGGGAGCTCTTTATCTACAGCTGGAGAAATCACATATAAAAGATGCCAGTGACCTACTCAAAACCCATACAAGAAGTCTGGCAGAAAGAAAAAGAAAAGAGGAGCTTGAACTCAGTTTCCCAGCTCCTTGATGATGATCCTTCATTCTCCATCTGAAAAGCCCTAGGATCCTATGCCAAGGGGCATAAGAACATCAGGCAAGCTCAAGAAAACTGGAGTTTCAAGTTTCAGCTCGACCACAGAATATACAATAGCTTTGTTCACAGCGGAAAAACAGATGTTTTTTGGGCAACACAAAATATGCAAAACACCTACAAACAAATTGCCAAGAGCATTTTGTGAATAACTACACAACTCTCACAGGACATGCCCTTCCAAATCCTGCTTTTCATACTTTCATGCCAGATGCACACTGGGGGGTGGGGGAGGAACAATATACTTTTTTTCTTCATGTTCTTATTTGAGGTGTCCTCCTGACTTTCTCTTGTCCTTTAAGAATTTAATGGATACCCCTCACATTACTGGGGTTACTCAAGTCTCATAGGTTTTGGAGAGAGAGGAAAACTTACTTTACAAATAACACTCCCTTAGTTGCCGGCTCCCTCAAAGGTTGGTACACCAGAAAGCTCAGACAAATCCGAAAGTACCAACTTTCTACAAGGGCAACTGTCAGTTCGCACCTTTCAAAAGCACACTACATATGGACTGGAGATTAAACATTCTGTTTCTACAGCTTCATAAATCACTTACCCTAAGAAAAATGCATACAGGAAAAACTAAATCTTCTACTCTTATTGCCCTTTCTTTCATTAGATCTGCTTTAGAGTGGGCTAATTAGGTTACTATTTGCTTTGGCTTCTGCACAATTTAAGTCCAGCATATACCTTTGTTCTTATTTCCTAATAAACTTCTATTTTAAATACTGCAATGAAAAAACAGCCAGACTAACAACGGATAATGTTCAGGAAACTTTTCTCGTGAAGGCAGAAGACCTATTTGGATGCTCTTAGCTAGGGATTACACTATGTAGATGTCACTGAACTGTACCTCTTTAAAAGTCCTTTAAGCTACCCTGTGGCCAAAATTAGTCAAGTACACCCAGGAGCAGATAGTGTACTACAGTAAAAATGGAATTCTTGCAGAGGAAAATGTTACAGGAATGAAATTAGCAGTGGTAGTACAGTTTAACAAGCCTTTTGTATTTCGTTTATAGCAGCCGGTTCCATAGAGAAACAAAAGAGGCAGAAGGATGCATTAGAGATATTAAAACTTATCTTGCTAAGTTACTTGTACTCCGTTGCTATAAACAGGTGTGGTAAGTTCGATTACCTTCCAAAAAAAAAATTTTCAAGGAAAGACATGTAACGTATACTACCGTTAAAGACATTTCTAATATCCTAAGCTATACATCTTATTTAATTGCTTCTTCACACTTAGCTGTACTTGTGCAATGACAGGGATGATAAAACACTACTACAGAAGACAAAAATGTATTGTCGCTTTTCCCAGAATGAAAAGTCAAAGAAAAACACCAAAAAAAAGACAGAAGGCATGCCCTTTAAAACCATATTTTCCCTCAGTATGTACAAACATTTATCTCCTTGGGTCGTCCTCTTGATTATCTGTTGGAAAAGATTTATACCAGCATAACATGCTACATAGTCAATCATTTTCAGAATGTGGCTAAAGTTAAGATCACCTATCTAACAACCATCACACTCACACAATTTGTACACAAGAGTCTCAACTTTTTCCTCTACTACTACCAGGAACAAGGAAACAAAGAAAATTCTGCAAGAGTTTAGCAAAACTGAGGATAAAAGCTTTCTGCAGATTATGAAATGCAGCTTTTTCTTGCACTTCTTTAGGAGCTTTTAAAAAAAGCCACTAGAGCAGATTGCAAGGGACGTCACTTTTGCAAAGCTTACTCAGGTTAGCCTCATTGCCTTATTTTATACACCTTCAGAACTCATTCACAATGCAGACTGTTCTTGGAACAGGCACAAGTTAATCTGAGTTTCAGTCCAACCTCTGCTCACTCACACACGCTATGACATTAGTCAGTACCTCAGGATCCAGCACAAATTTAATAGAAAAGCTGATTTTCCCTTATTAATACTCCTGTACAGCCAACTCCATGGAAGATGTGCAGGCTCTAACTTACTGTGACCAGCAACTCCTGCTTCCAAACTCTATAATAAAAAACCTACTTCCAGGCTTACCTAAATGATGAAAATTCTCCAACATAGTGTTGAAACGGTGTTCACACAGCCTGACTTTCACAATACAAGAGCTACACTACCATATTTTAAAAAAGGTCATTTCACTCCAAAAAGGGAATGAGGTATGTGACAGCATCAGCTTCAAATGTACACTTAAGTAATTTCTTTTATGGATAGAGACATCTGCTGCCTGCATTCAGCAGAGAGAGACAAGTATTTTTCTTACGTTAAGGAAATGCCATAAGTTATCAATACTACTGCATTTATTCCTCAAGTATGTAAGAGGAGAGCAATCTTAAGTCTTGCCCGTCTCAGCAAGGGCTTAATATGCTCAGCACAATTTTAAGGGCGCTGCTTCTTTAGTAAAGCCAGGGTGCTGAGACCTTCTGACAACCATATAGCTTCCACGTATTTTTTTTGCTTCCTTTAATTCTCTGCAGTTCCTTTCTTGTTTCTGCTCTGAACCATCTGTGTTTTAATAACCTGTTTGTTGTGCCACTGTCAGTATTTTTCATTTTCTACTGTTATAGCCATTCTGTTGAGATTTAATGAAAAGCAGAGACTTATGCTCTTTCCTTCTTTAAGGTTTCTTCCAACCCAAAGCATTATATGATTTTTTAAAATTTCTACTTAAGGCAGAGACAGTCACAGATGCACAATAATCTGATAGCTGTTTTGAAGTGTTACATCTAATGTCCTTACAGGTTTATGTGGTGATAAGCACAAGTTTTCTTGCCATGAGCAGCAGCAGAGGGAAGAAAAGAACCTGTTTTAAGTTTTGTTTGATGCTCAGAAAGAAAGAGGGTAAGAGTTTTACTCTATTGTACTACTGCACAGAAGATTCTCAAGCTGTTATACTTCTTTAACAGTTAAGAGCTAAATGACTTACTTCGCTGTCTTGGCCTTTTACTTCTCCATGCATGCACAGAGCTTAAAATAAATCTGTACCTTATTTGTAGCAGTAGCACTGGATCCTGGGACCACAGGCACGTTGGTCACTTGCACTGACAAGTAGTTATTGTCTATGAGGGGCCAAGCACCTTCCACTTTGCATGTCTGGAAGTGATCCTTAAAAGTCCTCAGATGTGGATCACCAAACAAGCCACAAAATAGATAAGTAGGAGCAGGAGTCTTCTCCCCTCCCTGATGTTCTCTGGCTTCTGTGTGGCTGCTGTAATTGCAAGGATCATGGGTCATTCCAGGGTTGGTGGAGGATGTTGGTCCATCTTTGGTACAGTTCCTCTGGGCCATGAGGTCACTGATCCCGAGTACTGCAGAATGGTAAACCAGGTTTCCACGGCATACTTTGGAATTGCGATAGGTACATGCAGAGTACGCACGCAGGGCCTTGCAGAACTCCAGATCAAAGTCCTCAAGAGCTGCGTTTAGATGGGAAGTGAAGAACACAAAATCAGTGGTGCACTTCTGGATTCCACAAGATGTGTGCAGCTGGCAGTCACCTAAGCACAAAAAGAGACGGCAGAGAGAAATCAAGCAAACCTCTTGGGTGGCAATACCCCATTCCACACCCACAGGTGCTGTAGAAAACAACCTGAACGAAACTTACAGTGCTCACCCACTAGGGAAACACTACATAACAGAGAAAAAGGTGTTGTGAGACAGAAAGATAGAAAATAGAGAGTATCTCAGATGATGACAGGACCCATGCATATCTTAATCGATCACCTGATGTTGTCTAGATGAAAATAAACAGCACTAGGTCCTGCCAAGTATAAGCCAAACACTTCTTTTCAGATATCAAGGTGATGATGCAATTCTGTGTTCAGTTAATCACTTAGTCAGTAAGAAAGTCTCCATTTAGTCATTCAATGCTTTACAGAAGTTACAGAATGCTGCCCCTCAGAAGAATGTGGTAAAGGCAGCAAAGCAATATATATTCAAGTGAAAACAGAATGAATGAAGCAGAAATCAAAGTTTCTCTTCCAGAAAGCAGGGCAGAGGGGAGGATGGTAGGAAACTGGGCAGGCAGTTTGCTTTATTTCTCTGGAACTATCATAGATAAAGCTTCACTGCTCATTTTTTGGAAGCTAATAAGTGAAAAAAACCCACAGCTGTCCAGTGTGCAAGATTCCAGCTAAGACATCTGAACAGTAGCAGCCTCTCTTACACTGTAATTCAATAATAAGACTGGGGCAAAGAAACCCTTTCCCTACGAAAGCCTGAAGTACTTACCAGATGTATACAACAGGTACACAGTTCACTTTACATGAACAAAGCAGTTAGGCCTTATCTGATCACCTCATTTCCACGAAAGAGCACAATTACCATCCCAGCAAGCACACTGGAGTTGTACAGTCCTCTCCTCCACACTTCTCACAGTCATGATCTGAAATCCTTCCAGATTCTCGTGGCACGTAGCAATGGTCTTCTGCTGGTGACTTTTACCCAAGAACTTACCAGGAGCAGAAATGAAATGAACAAGACTGCACACACACTAAGGGAAACGGAGCCACAGGGTTCACAGGGCTTAAAACCAGGAGGACCCTAGTCTAGGATTCTAGTCTAGGATTCCCACCCATCCAAAGACCCTTCATAAAGAATATGTGCACAACTTCATGCAATAGCTCTCCAAGTATGCAAAACTACATACTAAAAACATGATGCATTGTTATTTTTATGACCTATAAAACTCAACTGTGGAAACATTAATCTATAATTTCAAACTGTCATAAAACAGATTCTGAATACCACAAAAATGCCTCCAAAGATAAATGGAAGTGTGAAAAAAAAAGGGAAAATGCAATATATTTAAGAGAAACTCCTGAGACACGAGAAGCGAAAACTGGACTGCAGAGCAATGTAGCACTTTCATTTTTAAACAGCTGTCTTCTACAATTCACACAGTGATGAGAGGATATTAGCAATTTCTTCGCTTGCCCCTTAGCTGACCCTCCTGAGTCAGTACTCACATGACTTACTGTGAATATCCAAACCATGAATTTATAAGGGCAATATGTTTTCCCAGTGATGCACAGCTAACACAAATCTCCTGTCAAAATCCCAGGACAACACAGAGTAGAATGAGGCACTCTACACCTACAGCGAATCGTGACCATGAATTGTGTAAGCAGAAAGTTTTTCTCTTCATCTTTGTGCATCATTGTGCAACCGTAGAGTTGTACATACATTTGCAAAAAAAACAGAAAAAAACTGCACAAAATCCAATCAAATTCTGTGTTTTCTGATACACAAACAAAAACACCCTGTGGCAGGCAAAATAACACAGGTAATGGTGGGTTCAGAGACAGACTTTCAAAGCATCAATTTATTTCCCCTCAGTTGTATTCGTGATATGGTTTTGAGCATATATAAATCAGGCTAGCTGAGCAAGTCAGTCAAGTCAACGGCTGAATAAATCACAGATTCACTGAATTGTTAAGGTTGGAAGGGCCTCTGGAGATGCTCCAGTCCAACCGCCTTGCCAAGGCAGTTGCCAGGTGACACAGGAACGCGTCCAGGTGGGTTTGTAACGTCTCCAGAGTTGGAGACCTTTCTTGGCAGCCTGTTCCAGGACTCTGCCACCCTCAATGTAAAGAAGTTTTCCTTCTTTTAGTAGAGGTGGAACTCCTTGTGTTTTAGTTCATGGCCACTGCTCCTCGTCCTGTCGCTGGGCACCACCGAGAAGACTGGCGCCATCCTCTCGGCACCCGCCTTGGAGACATTTTATGTGCACTAACGAGATTCCCTCTCAGCTAGATAAACAGGCCCAGCTCCCGCGTCTCTCCTCAGGAGAGGTTCTACCTGACGGAAAGGGGCTCCGGCCGCGCTCCCGCCCCAACGCCGCCCACCTCCCGCAGTACCTGCGCCCGGCAGCAGCAGCAGCAGCCCCAGCGGGGCCAGGAGCGGCCGGAGGCTCAGCCGCGGCTCAGCCCCGGCGGCAGGACGGGGCCGCGGCATGAGGTGGCGGCGGCGCGGGCGGGCGACGTCCTCCTCCGTGCTTCTCCTTCCCCCTCCTCCTCCTCCTCAGCCCTTCCTGCTTCCGCTCCTCCTCCCGCTCCACGGGGCGGCCCCGTCAGAGGACAGGCCAGGCCGGGTGCCTGCGCGCACAAAGGGCCGGGCCCGCTGCGTCACCGCGGCTCCGAGCGCGCTGCGGCCCCGCCCCGCCCACCGTGCCGCTTTCCATTGGCTTACCCTGCTGTCTGTCACGGGTGACCCCCACTCCCGGCGCCCTCCGGTGGTCTTGCCCCGCCCGCCCTCACTGCGTCACCGCGCCCGCGCGCGCGCCCGCACCGCGCTCAACGGGCGCCGAGCGGCGGGAGGGGCCGCACGCGGCCACCGGGGGGCGCTGCCGGGATAGAGCCGGGAACACCTCAGGGAACACCGCCGGGACAGGGCTGGGAACAGCGCCGGGACAGGGCTGGAACACCGCCGGGACAGGGCTGGAACACCGCCGGGACAGACTGGGAACACCGCAGGGACAGGTTGGGAACACCGCCGGGACAGGGCAGGGCCCCGCGGGTGGAGCAGCAGAGGGGTCGACGCCAGGCAGGGGTGAGACCTGCTGGATCTGCTGCAGACGGACCCATCCCGGCACAAGCCACATCCGCGGATTTTTCTTGGAAGCCAGAGCGTTCGCAGCGCCTACTCGTCCCCATCAGGGCTCACGGAACATCTGCAGCAGAACTGGGACAAATAGCAGTTACACGGACGTGTCGGTACAAGAAGCGCTGCTGGATTTTGAAGTAGCCGTGGTTTGTTTTCCAGAAGGCAGGTGGGATGCCTGAGCCGGGAGCTGCTCCCCTGTAGACAGAATCTCCAATCCCACCGCGGACGGCTCTTCCCGCCCGACCTGCGCACCGCAGGTTTACTTTACGAGCAGTTATCAGCCGTATGCAAAGGCAGAATTTTGTTTGTCTGGGTGTATGTGTGTGTGTAAGAGAACTTGACATGGGAGAAGACTTTGACTAGTTCTACAGCAAGCCTAAATGAAGGGTAAAAGTAACTTTATTTGATATAGACATGATGTACTTTTATAGGTCTTTAAAGGAGAAAAAGCACTAGAAAATATACTTTATGTTATGGGAATTACATAGGACTCTGTCAGAGAGTTCAAATACATTAATGTTATCTTTACTGCCGTGTGTTGTATCAATGTAGCAATTTCCTGACCCCATCTTTATATATGTGTATGGTTGGAAGTTTGCCTGATCTATATGTTCTCATCACAATTTTCTTCTAGGCATAGCAGACCTGGATTTAAGAAATTGATCATAACATGCAAAAGTAAATTCCCGTTTAAAGGTGAAGTCCTACAAAGTTGTGGAAAAAAGTCATGATCACTAAAATAAGAAATGATGCAGGTATCCAAGACCTTTTTTAGTACCTGAGGGTTTTTTTTCTACTTATATATTGAATCACAGTAACAAAAAACCTAAATTTGAACAGTTTTATTTTACATTCAGCGTGTGTGATACGCATTAGAAGACATCAGTTTAGATACTTCATGATATAGGTAAAGATACATGTATCATATGGTGAACCACACAGTACTTCCTACACCACCCTGTGCTTCTATACCAAGTTTAAGTACAGGAGGCATCATAGAAATAAAGCTGGCCTTTTAAAGACCACTTTTTGTCTACCTCCAGCAACCTCTACCTATGACAATATATGTGACAAAGTGACCCGCTCAGTAGATGGGGGAAAGGCTGTGGATATTGTCTGTGCATGCTTCAGTAAAGCATATCACACCATCTCCCACAACATCTCCTGGAGAAACTGGCTGCCCATGCCTTGACAAGTGTACTGTTCACTGGATAAAAAAACTGTCTGGACAGACAGGCCCAGAGAATGGTAGTAAATGGAGTTACATCCAGCTGGGGCCAGTCACCAGTGGTATTCCCCAAAGCTCAATACTGGAGCCAGTCCTGTTTAATATCTTCATTAATGATGTGGACAAGGAGCTTGAGTGCACCCTCAGTCAGTTTACAGATGGTACGAAGTTGGGCGGGAGTATTGATCTAATGGAGGGCAGGAAGGCTCTGCAGAAGGATCTGAACAGGTTGGATTGATGGGCTGAGACCAATTGGATGTGGTTCAATAAGGCCAAGTGCCAAGTCCCGCATTTGGGTCGCAAGCCCAGGCAACACTCCTAGCTTAGGGAAAAGTGGCTGGAAAGCTACCTAGCGGAAAAGGACCTGGGGATGCTGGTTGACAGATGGGTGAACATGAGGCAGTGTGTGCCCAGGTGACCAAGAAGGCCAAGGACATCCTGGCTTGGATCAGCAATAATGTGGCCAGCAGGACCAGGGCGGTGATCATGCCCCCGTACTGGGCACTGGTGAAGTCACACCTTGAATCCTGTGTTCAGTTTTTGTCCCCTCACTTCAAAAGGGACATTAAGGTGCTGGAGCAAGTCCAGAGAAGGGCAATGGAGCTGGTGAAGGGTCTGCAGCACAAGTATGATGAGGATTGGGTGAGGAAGCTGGGAGTGTTTAGCCTGGAGAAAAGGAGACTCCGAGAGGACCTCATTGCTTTCTACAACTACCTGAAAGGAAAGTGTAATGAGATGGGGGTCGACCTCTTCTGCCATGTCTCAAGTGAAATGACAAGAGGAAATGGTCTTAAATTGCACCAAAGGAGGTTCAGATTAGGTATTAGAAAAAATTTTTTCACTGAATAAGTGGTTATGTTCGGAATAAGTTGTCCAGGGAGGTGGTGGACCCACCGTCTCTAGAAGTGTTCTGGAAATTGCACTTGGAAATATGTTTTAGGGGTGATTATGGTGATGCTGGGTTGATGGTTGGACTAGATAATCTTGAAGGTCTCTTCCAACCTTGATTATTCTGTGAATCTGTGATATGGTTCCTCAGGAAAAGCATAGTCAATATACAAAATAGTGTATACAAAATATATATGCAAAATACAGTGATAAACTGATTTCCTTGGATTCCTCTTTATTAGGAAAGCTTCTGGAAAACAAAAATCCAAGAAAGAAACCCTTCATTTTATCAACTATGTCTATAACAACAAAATAAAAAAAAAACCAACAAAACTCAACAAAGCAAACAAAAACCCCAGAACCCAACAAAAATCTTAGCTTCATTAGCCATTAAAATGAATGTAAATTACCACAACCTAGGAAGAAAACCTTTGACTTTTGCTGTAAATCACTTGGTATTCATCAGTTGAGCTGTGGCTGTGAGAACAAATGTCACATATGGTTTGCTTTTTTCTTCAATGCTCTCCAAGAGATATTCATGCTTTCCTCCTCTACTAAAAGGCAACACCTACCTCCTATTAATTTGGTATTGCTCTAGCAGAATAATAATAATTTAATAATAATAAGGTAGTAACAACTATTTGCATTCCCTGAAGCTGACTTTGATTTTGTATATTGTCACAGCAAGGGTACATCTAGATATGTCTTTTGTAAGCTGATATGGGATCACCCTACCTATTCTCTCTGTGTTCCAGAAGCCATGTAGCTGTATTTGTGCATGGCACAGCTGAGTTACTGTCCAGAGGTGTTTATCCTCACAAGATCCATGTGTCATGGTTTAGGAATGGTACTCCCCAGTTCAGTGGCCCCACCGAGATTCTCCAAATCACGCACCACTCTCTTGCTCTCCCATCTTCCCCTTCCCTTCCTGCTGTGGCGGGATGGAGAGGAGAATTGGAGGCACAAAATGAAAAGATCACGGGCTTAGTTAAGAATAATTTACTGGAAACAGCAATGGGATAAGAAAATGAACAATAACAGCAACAATACCAGTGACAGAGAGTATAAGAAAATAAACAATTCAGACAGGAAAAACCCTCTGACAATAGACAACTTTGGGCAGCTCCACCTGCCACATTTTCTGGACCTGAAGGAACCTCTTCTTCTCTGGAAATGAGTCCCTTTCCCCTCTATCTGGCAATGACATGAGGTAGCATGGAATAACCTCTGTGTCCTAGCCATGCCCCCTCCTGGCTACTGCAAAAATTAACCCTATCCTGGCCAGAACCAGGACACTTATCCATGCAATAGTGCAATTATTTCCAAAAATATTGCAGAATGAGGTGGTATTTTTGAAAGTTAGTATCAATAGTTGCTATTTCATGGCCAGAGTGAAACAATGAAATGTTTTATATATTTATTTAGTAATATTTTTTCTGGCTTGGGAGAAAAATGCACACAGTTTTAATGCTGCAAAAAGAAGGCAGTGAAGTATTTAAAAATAATTAATTCTCATTCTAGACTTAGGTGGATGCCATAGAAGTTCTTAAGTGCATGTTTGTCCTTACCTTAACAGCTGGGTTTTTTTGGTATGTAAAACTTTAGTGTAAGGAGTTTTCTTTTAATGATCTTTCAAGTAGAAATAGCTTCTGTTTAAAAAACCCCCCAAAAAAACAACTAAAAGAAAGTGATTTTCTTAATATAAACGTTGTCAAGTAGTACCAGGTTTTACTGTTAGAAATTGTTTGGTTTTGTTTAGTTAAAACAGAACAAGCACGTAGTGGGCTTTATGACTTGGCTCTCTATACAAAGTATGCTGTATGGAGTTTAATTCAGTTTTCCTGTCACAAATAAAGAACCCACAAAACTTCTGCCAAAGATGGAGTGAGGAAATGCGTGTCCTGTTGAATCTGGTATGTTCAGTGTGTCTTCTGATATGGACTTGTCAGCCAACACCATTTGAAAAAAACAGCCTACAATCCAAGTAACAAACAAACCCCTTTCTGTTCTGTCTCCTCCCCTGTCCTGATTGACACCCTTCCCTCCAAACAAACACATTAATTTTCTAGACTTCATATAAGTTGTGTGGGGTGAGATTGAAGAGACAGCTGTCACTGTGATCCTGTGTAAGAACACCCTCATGAGAAAATGAAGCTGGCTGTTCTGCTTGTAGAAATTCATGTCCTTGATAAAGCAAGAAGTTTATTTTTTGTTTTTTCACCTCATAAAATAGATTTAAAAAAATTTAAAATAGAGAGTAGTCTCTTCCTAAAAGTCTTCTTCATTTCAAGAATGCAGAAGAGTTCACTAGAAGATAAACTTCTGATACAATGTTTTGTTTTGTTTTGTTTTTTAAAAAAAACAATGCTTTTAATAAAATTATTACTTTAACAGTTATGCGTGTAAGAGTTATGTTGTGTTTCTATGTGCAAGCTGGGTGTAGTGGACAGAAAACACTTGTACCAGTATGGCTTGTTTTATTGGCTGTGTCTGATTCATGATGTGCCTGCTTTAAGTGCTTACTTTGCTATTTTTTTTCAGCTGTTTCATTGTTTAATAAGATTTTTTAATGAACAGAGAGGAAAGCTATAACGAAAGTACTGAAACACAATTCCTTAGGAATTTAAGGCATAAACTAAGGAGTAGAGTAAAATTTATCTTTACTTCTCAAGAATGTATTTTTGGTTCTCCTAATCTATTAGTCTGTGTTTGGCTTGGTAAGATAGAGCTTATAAGTTAGTGTATCAATCTGTTAATCACATTAAAAATGTATAATTGAATTTACAGCAAGCTTTCCATTCTTCTGGAAAATAATGATTAAGGAATTATAGAATAGCATTGCAATGCTGAATGTGGTCTCCTTAGAAGATGTGCAGATTCTTTGGCTACTTATGCATTGCTCTCTAATACATCCCACTGTGCTGCATGGGTCCAGAGCTCTAGATATAGCACAGATCAATTAGTGTGATTTAAGAACAAATCTTGGACTAGAGCATTATGTTATGTAAGACTGATTGAAAGACCAGGGAGGATGTGAAAGAAGGCATATGAATCACAGTGAAGTTACTTCTTTTTTGTCAGACTACATGTTTGGTTTAACTATATAGTGGATATTTCTGGGCAAACTGCTCAGATGTGAATGTGTACACAGATACAAAGGCCAAGAAAATACACCAGCCTGCTTTTGCTTAGTTTCTATTTCCCTTTTTTCTACTTGTAACCTTTTTTGACTGAGATCAATGCACTGGGATAGTCTGTTTTTGTTCAAAGTGCCTATGAAAGGGGTACCTCCTTTGAAAAATATTTATTTCAACCGCCGTAACAGGATGCGTTGCTATGAATATGAATTCTAAGTGAGTGATGGGCTTGTCGGTTTACCGACAGGGATGAATATAAAGTCAGGAATGTTAATTTTGAAGTACAATTTTTAAGCAGTGTTTTAGTGTTCTTCTGTTGTGTATTTGTAACCTGCTCTTCACAGAAAACAAAGAAGTGAACAAGACAAGTGGACAACTTTATGATGGTATCCCCCAGGATCCAGTGAAAAGAGGGGAATCAGAGTTTGATTCCTTCAGGCAATCACTACTGATTTTTGAAAAAAAGGAGGAAATTGTAAAAATTATAGAGAACAATAAAATTGTTTTGATTATTGGAGAGACTTGATTGGGAAAAACTGCTCAAGTATGTTTCTTTAGTGAAATAAAAAAGATATCAGTATTTATATAAAACTAATGTCAATTTTGTAACATTTGTGATAAGCAATTACTTTTTGTTAGTTTTAAGGCTTTTGTTTTTCTATGTGGTTGAAAATCTTGTGTTCCAATTCACTTTCTTGCTTTTGAAATTCTAAATCCCCAGAAAAGCATAAATGATTCTGCAGAATTTTCTGATAGGTTTCGTTTTTTCATTAAAATAATATAAAATATTGAAGGGAAAGTAGCTTTTGCTTCTAAAGCTAGTTCTGCTCTTAGCATCCAGAATAGTATATATTGTGTTAAAATGAAAGATTATTTTCAGGGCTTTTTCTTACAGATTTCCCTGAAGCAGGAGACAGATGCTTCAACTTTTTTTTTTTTGTTAAAAACATATCGTACTTGAAATCTCTTTTTAAAGAAAAAGAAAATTAAAGAAATGTATTTAAATTAAAGAAATATATTTTTTACTGCCTTTATGTCCCTTCACTTGCATTTGCAGTGATAATGCTAGTGAGAAACCTTTTGCAACCTTTGTAATATTGAGATGCATTTAAATTTTTTCACTGTGGTAAAAAAACTATGACTGTCTCAAACTAAAAAGTGAATTTGAACCAGTTCTTCACAGATCACTCACTTTCTTCTTGACAACTGTTACGATAATGGAACTCTGTATTTTGCACTCAGTCAAGATGTTTGGTAGCTCTTGCTGTGGCTGAAAGAGCGGCATCAGAAAGAAGGGAACAAATTGACCAGACAATTGGTTATCAGATCTGATTGGAAAGCAGGTACTAATGATATTTCTTACAGTCGATTGACTGTGTGTTGATATCTTTAGTCTTCTGTATATTTAAACTATAGTATATTTGGGATGCAGCCTAGTCAAATCTCCATGTGTAAAGTATAGTTAGGACGTGTTATTGCAGGTAATGAATATTTAAGGGTGAAAAGGACAGTTTCCCTCCTCTATTTTGTAGTTTCATGTAGTAAGTTGTCTTCTGGAAATGAATTACAAGTGCTTTCTCTTGATTTCTTCTAGGGAGTGTGTGTGTGGAAATCCTTGTCTTATTTTCAGATCATAGAATCATAGAATTAACTGGGTTGGAAAGACCTCTGAAATCATTTAGTCCAACCCTTGATCCACTACCACCATGGTTACTAGACCATGGCACTAAGTGCCACATCCAGTCTCATCTTAAAAATCTCCAGGGATGGAGAATCCACCACTTCCCTGGGCAGCCCATTCCAATGCCTGGTTACCCTCTCTGTAAAGAATTTCTCCCTAATATCCAACCTAAACGTCCCCTGGCAGAGCTTAAGACCATGCCCTCTTGTCTTACTGATAGCTGTGTGGGAGAAGAGACCAATCCCCAACTGGCTACAACCTCCGTTCAGACAGCTGTAGAGAGTGATGAGGTCTCCCCTGAGCCTCTTCCTCTCCAGCCTGAACAACCCCAGCTCCCTCAGCCTCTCCTCATAAGACTTGTGCTCAAGTCCCTTCACCAGCCTTGTTGCTCTTCTCTGGACCTGCTCCAGCACCTCAATATCCTTCCTGAACTGAGGGGCCCAGAGCTGGACACAGTACTCGAGGTGTGGCCTCACCAGCGCTGAGGGGAAGAATCAATTCCATGGTCCTGCTGGCCACACTGTTCCTGATACAGGCCTTATCAAGCCTACGCTTTCCTCTCTTTTTTTTTTTTTTTGTTTTCCTCCCTACTTTTAATGTGTGGATCCAAAAGTTTGCAAGCTTTGCAGATGGCAGCAAGACCGGCATGCTGTAACAAATGGTGTATAGTGAGAGTTGATAGGGAACATAAAAGGGAAAACAAAATTGGGAAGTGCATAATGAAGCATTATTTACCAATCCAGGTTTAGGTTAAATTTACTCTGTTTCATCTTTTGTGTTTAAAGCATGAAGAGATCCAGAAGTAGAGATTTCTGTGTCATCTGATGAATTTGTTCCTAAAGTAGAGCAGGAATGAATGAAAGTCTGAAGATTGCGTGGAGTTTGGACATTCTTTGAACTGTGTAACTAGTGGGATTTCCAGGAAGGGGCAGCAGTTAGGATATGAGTGAGAAGAAGGCAAAAGCGATAGCAAGGAATGCACTTGAACAACAAAGGTAAGAATTTGAATATGCATATGAAAGCTCCCAAGGAAGGCCATAAGAATTAAAAGAGTTGGCAAAGACGTATCACAAATAAGGTGGATGATTAATATGTGGAAGTATTATGCTGGCAAAAGAAGAGCAAAGTGTAAGTCAGATGAGAATGGAAGAATTACTGGAAGCAGCACAGAAAATCCAGCTTAAGAAGAATCAATAAAGTTATTCCAGAGAAAGACTAAAAGGGAGAGATGAAAATATTTTCAGTTCTGGGCAAGAAAGATCAAGAGTGGAGGTGTTTAGAGGTGCTTGAAGTAACACAGAAGTCTAATTTTTGAAGTTTTATTAACTGTTAGACCATAACAACCATTTCTAGGTGACTGTTGGAGAAGGAGAAGGGTGGAGGTGGGTAAAGTAAAGCATTTCTACCTTGTGCATGTTCTTTGAATTTAATATGTAGTACGATTTTTGAAAGACAGGATTAATTCCAAACTTGGAAAGAAATGGAAGAAGTGTGGAATGCTAACCAGTGATCCCATATCTTCCAGAGAGGAGCTGTAGAGAGAACTTTTCGGTTCCCTTGGGATGGCAGCACTGGGGATTAGAAAAGTTCATGGAAGACTGTCTCCCGTGGGAGCGATCCCACGCTGGGGCAGGGGAGGAGTGTGAGGCCTCCTACCCATGAGGAGGAAGGAGCAGCAGAAACAGCATGTGATGAACTGACTGCAGCCGCCAATCCCCATCCTCCTGTGCCTTTGGGGGCAGGAGGTAGGGAAAACTGGGAGTGAAGTTTAACCCTGTGAAGAAGGGAGAGGTAGGGGGAAGGTGTTGTAAGATTTGGTTCTAGTTCTCATTATCCTATTCTGATTTAAGTTGTAATAAACCAAAGTAATTTCCTGAAGCAGAGCCTGTTTTGCCCAGGACAGTAATTCATGTCTGGTCTCTCCCTGTCCTTGTCTTGACTCCATGAGTCTTTCACTGTATTTTCTCCCCTGCACAGCTGAAGAGAAGAGGGACAGAGCAGAGAGACACAAAGAAAGCCTGGCTTCGATCTGGGTATGGACAGGCACCTCAAAAAGGTCTGTAGTTTATACTTAGCTTAGGAAATGTGATTTTGGAACCCAAATATGTGTCTTTAAAATCTTCCTTTTCTTTCTTAAATAAAGAGCTGTTTCTGAAATGCTATATAGCATAAACAGTTTTGTAAAATGTATTTCAAAACTGTGGTTCTGAAAGGCTACAGAAAATACATAAACCTGTACCAATCACCTATATTTTTAATGCAGTCCCTGGAAAATTATCTTAGTCTTATCTTTATCTTGTAATGTTAGGCTGGTCCTCTCCAAATGAAGAGCAAGAGCAGAAGCTCATGCCTAGATACTTCCACGGAGAAGCCAGCCTTATGGGGAGCTTGGAGGCAGAAATCAGCTAATGAACATGAGATGGGAGAGGAGCAGATCCTATGGAAAACTTTGAAGGCTGAGTGATATCTGTTGCTGTGGTAGAGAGAAGGCTTGGAGGAGCAAAGCAGAGAGTCAGGGGGCTGAAGCTGCAGAGGTCAGAGACTGTTTAGATGCTCATCTGAACCCTCTTATTTCCATTTCTTAATATAAAATGAGTAAGATGGCAGCTTACGTAGGGACAAGGAAGAAGCAGTGTAATCCAAGAAAGAAGAAACATTTCCAAATCCCAGGCTGGGAAAGTAAACGGTTGGAAACAGTACCCACACCCTCGTCCGGGGATCTGCATTCCTGTCTGTGTACAGAAATTGTGTGAACAATTTCTATTGCATTTCTGTGAGCGTCGCCTTGGCATGGCTGGATGCAGACAGTAAAAGATATTACGCAACTAATATGGCTGCAGGCCTTGTGCCAAGGTGAAGGAGGAGTTTTTTGGCAGGTAAACAAGTTTTATGGACACCTGTTGTGATCCAATTAGCACCGCACAACAAAGTATGTTTTCCTTATGTATCCAATGTAACATGAAAAAGAATCATGTCTGAGTGTCATAAGCAGTATAAAAGATGTCTTTCTTCTAATAAAGCCAACATTTTGCTGACCAAATTGGCCTGTGAGCACCTGTCCATGCCCTCCACCAATACATTCCCACTGTCAGCCACCATGCACAAGATGGGGTCTGGGGCTACCGCCACACACAACATGGTGGCTGGGGCAGGAGGGGCCTTGGAGCAGCACAGGGTGGGCAGAGGCCCCACTTTCAATCACCATTAATAGACAGCTGGTGAAATAATCCAGTATTGCATCTTTGTTCTGTTCACATCAAGATACACAAGCCAGATTGTAACCTTGGCTGTGAGTTCTTTAGTCTGATGTTAAGTCAATTGAAATGGGTGGAAACAAGAAGAAACTCCCTGGTTTGCACCTTTGAAAATTAGATCAAACCAACAAAAAGCCAAAAGCATTTCCTGTACAGGTGGACTTCCTTTAACTCAAAGAGGCATCACAGCAGATCTCTTTCAGGCAGGAGTCATGGTAACTGCGAGGTGATTCAGAAAGAGATGTACTTGGAGCAGATCATGCAATGGTTGTTCATCTAAGCTGTGTATCCCGAAGTTTATCTCTTTGTTTTAGGTCATTATGAAGACTATGTAGAACTGGGGAAAAAAAAACAAACAAAATTCCAGCAGAAAGTCCACTCTGATTTGGTTGTTCTTAATGAGATTAAGAGCACAGTCTTTCTGTTCAGCAACATGCAGACTCTTAGGCAAGAGGAAGACAAGCTCACAAACCATTGAGGATAAACAGTCACTGAGAGGAATCAGTTGGTGAAAAAGGGCAAGAAATGTGACAGGGAGAA